CTCATTTGCTGGCCAGCCCAAATCTCCTGCTTTCCAAGGGATTCCCAGGGAACAGCCCCAAACTCGGGGGATTTGCAAAGCTAACGGCATAAACACAACTCCAAGCCTCCTGATGATCCCATTTGGGTCTTTTTGTCTCTTTTTGTCTCCTCTGTGTGTCCAGTTTCACAGTGGAACCAGTTAACAGGGATGCAGTGGAACAGCATAAAGGGATCCCTGTGTGTCCATGACAAATTAAACGTTTAAGAAGTTTGCTCCAAGTCTCGGGGCAGACAAACTTAAGCTGGAATAATTATTGCTGTGTTTCATCTGGGTCTTGCTGCTTGGATGCCTCTAAGAAGAATTAGCAGGATTATGATAGTAACTGAAGGGCAGATTTCCTTCCCTTTCTGCTCCCCTGAGCTCAAACCATTGCTTGTATCCTGTATTTTCAGTGGTTTTCTCACGCTTCACATGTGAGGAATGCCCAGAGAATAAGAGTGTTTGTGTCTCACAGGAAAATCCAGCTTTTCCTAATAAACAAATGCAATTCTACTCATCATCTGAAGTGAGAAAACCCTGATTTTACTGTAGGCAGCTAAAGGATTAACTCCTCACAGCAGCTAAAATTAAAAGTTAGTAATTTATATCATAGGGGTAGCTGACACAGAGAAACCTCAGACAGAAAATTCAGTGCATTGAATTAGTTTCTCTGCAGTTGAGTTTTCAATAAATGCATATTTTACTTGCATATAGAAATGTCTTGGTGCTTCTGCTTTACTCCATGATTAAAATTACTACAGAGCTGATCATAAGGAGGAGTTTTTAAAACATAGTTCACTTCTAAAAATCAATCTGGTACTCTCAAAAGAGCACTTTTCATCACAGTTTATATTTAAAAAGCACTTTGTACTAAAGAATCTTTTCATTAGAATATTCTGGAAGCATTGGGATCTTTATATAAAGAAGGATTGAAGTGGCATCACCCATCACTCCTCTCTTCCCATGCACTTGTGAAGCTTTTGCTGTGCTCAAGGCATGGATTTTTCAGCTGCCTGTGGATAATTTTCCATTGCAGTTTTGAGAACAAAGAAAGGTTACTATTGCTATCAACGTTTGCCTCATTTTTTTACCACCAAAATCAGGTACTTTTATCTGCTCCTCTTACAACACCTCCTTTGGAGTCTCTTATAACAGTCAAAGGGGTCACTTGAAGCTGTTTAAAAATAAAGCTCACAAGAGGTCAGTTTTGACTGAGAAATTACTGCTTTGTGATTCGGATAATTGGCAATTTCCCACCAAGATTCAAAGGAAATACAGTGTCCTTTGCCTTGTGCAATTAGCTCAGTCTTGTTGGTCACTCATTTAAAATGAGCTATGCCAGGGGTAAGGCTGAGACCCCGTTTGAGCCCCACTCCTGCTTTAATTATTCTCTCTGTGAACCCAGAGGAAGGAAAAATCTCTCCCTGCTGTTTGTTTTTCAGCCATGTGGCCCCAAAGTCTGCATAAACCTCAATGTGAAGCTTGGGGGCCTTGGACCTGACTATGAGGCAATCAAAGAGAAAGTGAGTAAATCCCTGTTACCTGCCCTGCTTTTCAGCTGTGCAAAGTGATTTCATAGGCAGAGAAATCACTGCTGGGAAGCAACTTGTGGTTGTTTGGTGCTTCCTGTCCTTGGCTCTGGGTCTGCCTTGAGATCCTGAAGGGAAATTCAGATAACTGGGTGATTTTAAGCCTCTGATTTTGTAGTTCCAGAAGCAGGGAGTAGCTCACAGAACTCCTCAGTAAATTATCCAGCCATGTGACTCGAGTTGCACTGTCATTCCCAGTGTCATTCCCAGTGCTGAAGGTCTGCCCAGCCTTCCCAGTGGAAGTAAAACCAGTTGTGTGTGAACAGAAGCAAACAGCTGGATGCACATTTATACTCTGCTGAAAGGGAGGCAGATTGTTCAGAACACTCACATGTCACCTTTCTGCTGAGCTCTATCCTCAGCCCAAGGAAAAGCTCTTAAAAATGAAAAGCAACTAAAAAAAAAAAAAGCTGTGCCATTTATCAGGGTTTCCTGTTGTGTTCTGCTGAGGGGGGATCAATGGCCTGGCCAGGTTAAACAGCAGCAGAGGTGTAAATGGAAGGCTTGGTGGAAAAAGTGGTTCATTGATGGATCCACTGAGACATTCAATGACAAACCCTTTTTTCCCTTTTTTTCTTTTTTCTTTCAGAAGAAGAAGTTAAAGCTGCAAAAGGAATATTCAAGGCAGATTAAGGAATACAATATGAAAAATATTACTTTGGTTCAGAAGTTACCTACAAAACCTCAGGTCACATCTTCAGTGTCGAGACAGAAGGTAAGAACAGATTCCCTTTAAAATACACCCAGGGAGAGATTCTGGGCTTTGCACAGAGAAAAGGGAATAAATTTAACTCAGAGTGGGCTAAAATAGTTTCTCCACTTTGATTTTCCTTTTAACAGCTCCATGAATCACAGATTTCCTCTTGTTAATTATTATCCACCTGCCCATCAGTCCCATAGCTACAGTAATTACTCTGATTTTTCAAGCCCACACGTCACTTCAGCCTTCACTGGCCTCCAAAAACAGCCCAAATGAGCAATGAGGGACTCCCTGGCATTGCACCCACACACACAGACCAAGGGAGCACCTTTTCCTCATTGCAGGAATTAACAAAGCTCTGGAAATAACATCTTTTGAGCCACCAGTTCTGCAGGAGCTCACCTGCCTAGGGAGGTGTTTCTCCAAGGGGACAAAGGGGGACCTGCAGGCTTCAGGAACAAAGCTGGGGGGTTTGATGTCAGCTGAATTCCTCAGGTACCTGCAGTTATTTCCAAACTTCACATGAACCACAAAGTGACAAAACTGAGTGTCAGAAGGGCTTTGGATTCCTTCAAAAGGCTTCCCACACACTCTTTGACCACGAATATGCAGCTTCCACTTGGGGCATAACAGGTGTTTTCCCAGTTCATGCAGCAAACACAGACACCAAAACACATCCCAGGTTAAACCAGGGCTCTCTCAGATCCAGGATTTCTGCAATCCTGTTCCCATTCCCTCTGCAAGACAGCCTTCAGGTTCCAGACATCATTCCTTACTACTGGACACTGGGAAAAATACATTTATAACCTTAATAGACTCGTGTTGCTCTTTCCTTTTTAACACTAAAACACTCTTTCAGTGTCTGAGGTGGCTTCCAGTAGTGCCAGAAAGCAAAACTCCTTGGGGTGGGTTACTTGGCAGTCACCACTGAACCATCTGCTGTTGAATTCTGTCAGAAACAACATCAGGAATTAGGGGAAATATTAATTGGACTCAGCATAAACCCACCTAAGTGCTCTTGGAAACGTTGGTCAGGTTTTCTCCCCATCAGTTACCCCAGTTTTCCTGGTTTTAGGCCCTGGAATATGCCAAGAAGATTCCAAGGCCAAAGACTTTCATGACAAGACCATCAGACAAAGAGGTGAAAGAGGAAGTTCTGTCCCAGACTTCAGAGGGAAGCAGCTTCCCCAAAATCCCATCCCTGGAAGCTCTGCGGAGCAGACACGAGAAGGAGAAGGAGGTTGTGGCTGCTTTCAAAGCCCTTCACATCCTATAAGGGATACATCTGGAAATATTGGGGATGTCTTCAAATCAAAAATGCCCAAACTATTTAATTAGGAGCTCTGACCATCACATATTGATTTACCAGCCCACTGAAATACGAAGTGGCTCAAGTTTAATCACTGATAAATTTTGGACTCTGTTCTACCATACCTTTTTTTTTAAATAAAATAAACCTTTGCATGTGTAGCATTTTATATATGGTCTTATCTGTTACGTTTCTTTAAAATAACTGACCTAGCAGTTGCATCTTTCAGACTATTCAGCTGTTGGCTTGTCACAGCTGGATCATTTTTGGACACGTCAAACACATGGACACATCTACAAAGCATTAAAAATGAACTTCTGCTTCACAGGATGATCTTAACACCATCAATATTTCTCTTTTTGAAGTGCAGAGGAGATTTTGGCAAACTGTCCAGAAACAAAGCCAAAAATAAGCCATTGCTGGTAAGGGGAATAAAAACAAAAATATGCACCAAACCCAGCAGTTGGTAATAATACTAATTATTCAAATATTACTCTGTTATTTATTAGGGAATAGTTGTCACATTAAGACCAAAATTTTGAAGCTTCATCTGGGACAAGAAAACTCCAACCAAGTCCTGGCTGAGCAGGCAGACAATCTGTTATTAGCCAGAAGCAGTTGGAAAATGTATTGGGTGACTGAGGATAATTGAGAGCTACATGTTGGAGAGGAAACAGCTTTTAACAGATTAAGTCCATAAAAATAACAACAAACAGATGGGTTGCTTATGGTGGTTCCATTCCTTTAACTTGGTAAATTATGAATTAAGTCAACACGTGAGATGTGATTGGAACTCACAGTAAGGGAATTTTGACTAAAATCTCTGAGAAAACAGGCTGGTTCCAAGGAAAATAAATAACCAACCCCCTCGTGGTTGTGTGCAATTGCTCTGTCCGATTTGTTAGGTCTCTTTTTGCCTCCTGCTGAACTGGGCTTGGCAGCTGGAAGTTTGGGACACACATAACATTTGGGGAGAGCTTGGTGGGAGAAGCACCTTGGAGCACGGGGAGGATGCTGTGCAAGGATCACCTTCCCAGAGGGGTGAGGCTGCAGGGGGGATGTTTGGCACCTCAGGGAATATTTCCACTTCCATCCTCTGCCTCAGCCTCCCTTCTCCTCACCCTCAGGCACTGCCTGTGCCCCCTCTCCCTGTGGAAGGTGGTAAAAATCCACCCATCCCAGCTGGAAAAATGATCCCATGCTCTGCCAACCGCTGCTTTCCTACTTTTCATTTTGAAGCCAAATGGTAGCACTTGGAAGCATTTCTGCTCAGGGAACCTCAACTTGTTGTTTCTGCTTAAAAGTGATAATCCCCCCTTAATACAAACCTCAAGTGCCTATTTTAATGAAACCTTCAGATGAATATCAAAGAGCTATTTACTCGTATCTAATATTTTAATTAGATTATATTCTCAATTTAACCCATTAAACCCCCTTTGATGATCTCCATGTTTAGTGTTTAGCCCCAGATGCTGGAGGTAATGAATATTGGACCTTTGATTTAATGAGAACTTCTGCCTTTCCAGCCTGACTCCCTTTGTATCCCCCTTTTTTTTTATTTTCCCAGCTATAGAATCCAGTTAATTGAAGAAGTCTCTTATCACCACACATTAAGGAACCTAAATTAGCATCCCTTTTCTGATTAGAAAATGCGAGCAGACATTTTCTCTTTGATCTGAGGATTGAGTTGAAGTAGGCAACAGCCCCCTGAAAATGAGCTGATGGCCTTATTATTTGGCTGCCATGCAGATGCACCCATGTGGTACAAAATGCTTAATGTCTTAATTGATCACCTTCCTCCCTATCTGGCATCCCACTACCTTTTAAAGCTCCCATAAATTAGGGGGAATCTCTCTGGGTTTGGGGCTTTTTGAAGGAAACAATGAACTTCCTACTAAAATAAAAGCCCTGGATGTGAAGCTGCTCCTGGGGGAGGGAGGAGGTTTCTTTATAAACACTGGTCATCTCACAAAAATTCAGAAAAGTCTCTTTGTTGGGGTGTTGTTTGGGGGGGTTTCTTCCCAAAATTTGCAGCATAGGTGCAAAGAAAATCTTTTTGATCTCCCCCAATACCAGCAGACGTTTTTTCCTGCACCCAGCAGGTCTGGTGGCACAAAGAGGGACCACACAAGTAAAAGATGAGCATCCATCTGCTGGAAAGCAAAGGCCAAACCTTCGTGCCTTTCACATCAGGAAGACAAGGAATTTCAATGGGAAACAGGCCTTGAATGTGGCATTAAATGTTGAAGGAGGGGTTGAGCTGGAGCAGAACCTGACTAACCTAGACTTTATTTTAATTATTTTAATTAGAGTAAGGGCAGTTACTTAGGGATCAGTTTGAAAGAAAGAAGTAAAACATTTTTTGATAATATAAATAATGAACTGTCCTTTTGATTTTGATTCCAATTGCTGGGAAAAGTGTTTCACTCAGATAACAAAGGCACTTCAGTTGTCCAGGCAGAAATATATGTAAATTTCTATATAAAAAATGTCTGCTGCTCCCATGGTCCAACACGGGGCAGAGAGGCATTTGTGTGCATCATCCCATGGAAATTCCCAATATTTACTTGGTAGGCCCTTTGTAGGGCCATAATTTCTAAATATTTTGGCTTCTGGGAGTGTTGCAGCCCAGAGAACCTTCAGGGGTCAAAGACCTGGGGTCACTTCTATTTAGGAGCAACGTTGCTGCAGCAACATCAGCACCTCACCAAAGGCATGGACAGGCTGCTGACCCCCCAAAAAAGGTGGTTTATCAGTTAAAAACATCAAATAAGGCAGAACCTCAAAGCCACGTTCCATCATCACGTCTCTAAAGACAAAAGGTAAACCAGACAAGGCTCTGTCCAACTCCTGCAGTCATTAAATACTTGAACAAGCTCTGATGTCCAGCAGCCCACAAGCCAAGCATTTGATTGTTATCAACTCCTAGTAGGGTAAATTCTACAATAAACTACAGTGGCACAAAGAATATGCCCTTTTTTTAATTACTATTTTATTATTTAGCTTGTTTATTTTATTGTGCTTATTTTTGCTTTTTATTTTATCATTTTGCTGGGTTTATTTTATCATTTTCCCCAAACCCGAGTGCTTTCTGCGTGAGGAAAAGCAGGAATGTGAAGAAAGGAGTGACTCTGGTCTCCCAAAAACATCCTTTACACCCACCTACCTTGACCAAGTATTGCCACAACTGCATTAATCCTGTGAGGAGCTGCACCCACCCCTGGCAGTGGACCTGGAAGGGTCTCATCTAAGCTTATAATTCCTTAGAAATAAGATAATTCCAAGACAGAAATCAACCACTTTTTAAGCCCTGTAAGACCATCCAAGCAGGAGTTTGCAGTTAATTAAGGTGGGGCTGTTTGTTATTGTGACCAGAAGTGAGGAAGAGCAAAGTCAAAGCTGCCCCTACACATATTTAACAGCAAGGCTTTGCAAATTATTCGCTTTATAACTGCCCACACAACCTGCATATCTGATCTGCTTTTATGTAGCTCTGGCCACTGAATGAAAAAATTCGCTTTCCAGATCCAAAAAAAGTTAAAAATGTTTAGGGCAGCGAACGGGAGAGTGTTTAACATCCAAACAGCAAAGGTTCATGGAAGGATTTTAGGCTGCTGTTTGATTTTCTGTAAGGAAAACCACAAGAAAACCATTAACCACTTAGGTGTTAAATAAATTAACAGAAAACAATTTCATTTTAAAAAAAAACCAAACAACACCTCACTGGAGAATTTGAATGAAAATCAATCTTCAATGGATTTCTTGAAAAATAGGAAATCCACCAATTATTTCCTGCAAGCCACTTCCACTCCAGCATTTCCCAAATGAAGACATTAAATATTCTTTTAAAAAGAGAGAGAAAGAGGCAGCTCTAAACAATCTCTCCCCTACTCCTCAAGCTTTTGGGGAGAGCAGGAAAAAGTCGGGCCGTTGTCATGGAATGAGCAAGGACCCAGTAATAAAAAATTAATTAAGAGAAAAATCGTTGCAATGAACAAATAAAACACCTCCCCAGCCCTTCCTTCTTCCCAGGGCCATCTCCACCCTCCAAACACGCAAGGAGCTCTTCCCAAAATCTTGCTGTCCCTGTCTAGAAGCTGCATCTTCCCAACACCAGCCTGGCAGGAATCGCTTCCCAGCTGGGAAGGAGCTGGCTGGGACCAGAGGGAATGTCTCAGGCAGTGACTAATTCCTTCAACTGTCTCAATCTCAGGGTTTTTCGCTGCAAACTTCCCGGGATAAACAGCCTGTTCCCAAATCCTCCCGTTGCCTGCAAGGCTCGGTGCTCACCGCTGGGATGGGGACATCCCTGGGGTTGTCCCATTCTGCCCGCGTTTGTCACTGAGGTCGCCAGAAATCAGTGGCTTTGGTTCTAAATAATACGGTTGCAGCTTTGAACACCATCCCAAAAGTGCCTAAAAGCACAGAGAGGTGGAGATGGGCGGGCGGTTGTGGGGTTTTATTTTATTGATCAGCATAAAAACTTCGGGAAGAGAGTTCCTGTAGTGGCGGGGGGAGAAACGGCAGAGACTTGAGTGTTATTTGGGTCACATTCTGCCCCTTCCTGGCACATCGCAGCCCCCCAGAGCAGAGCCAGGCCAGCCCTGAGCTGTGTGCATTCCACAGGCTGCTCCCAACCCTGGGAACACGGTCAGGAAAACACGATCGTGAAAATATCACGGCAGAGCTTCTCTTTTCTATCATTTTTAGCAGTTCCCAGCCAAGCACACGCTCGGGGGAGGCCGACAATGAGCGCAGAGCAAAGCAAACAAAATCCTCGACGGGCAGACGTGGAAAAACAGCGTCAAATCGAAAGGATTTTGAGGCAGTTTCCATCGCATCCCTGCACGTGTTGGGAGAAGGGAAGAGCTGGGAGCAGCATTTCCAGCCAGAGGTGGGAAGTGACCTGCTGGACCTGCCCTTGGCTCCCTGAGCTGCCTCAAACCACAGCAAGGCTGCGGGAGGAAAGTGGTTGATTTACCTTCTGAATCATGATTTTTAGGGTGGCGTTTTGTTGG